TGCACCGTGCTGGATTTGTGCATGGGGATTTGCGAAAGCCCAATATTCTCTATCAAGAAACAGATGAATCTATAAATCTAGCGCTAGTCGACTTTGATTGGGCGGGTGAGGCTGGCAAAGTCTCTTATCCTTCCTTCTTAAACATTCAAAGTGTCAAAAGACATCCTGATGCAAGATCTGATAAGGTTATTACTCCAGAGCATGATATTTTTAGTTTAAATACATTCATGATGGATTTGTAAATATTTGAACGCGGTTTAACTATCAAGAGAAATTCAATAAATAAATAGTTTAGATCTCACCAGTTATCAAAACTAGTGCCTTGCTATTAACTTGTGAAGTGATAAATTTATATATAGGATTACTCGTATATGAAATATTATCAGTCACACGATTTGTCTCACACGTAAAACTTAAGCATATTATGTCGATCGATTTAAAAAATCAATTAATCATACATGTGATTCTTAGCCAAAACGCATAAAAGTTCTCAAACAAAATTATTGTTGAGGTTTCTATGAACAGAGCGGTGCAAAGATCACGAAAAACTAATATCTCCCTATAAAGTGAAACGCCTTCGAAATTGACATCCATTTTGCCTATTTTTGCTAGATTATTCTTCGGTTCACAAATTCTTACCATAAAAAGTAATTCACCAAACACGCCCAAACAAGAACCATCTACAAAGTTTTACAAGGGGTTAGTACATTACAAATATGTGAAAGAAAATTAGGAAAAGCTGTTTTAATGCATAGTATATAGATAATAGTATTTCTTTTAATTAACAAAAATTATTTTTATGATTATTAGAATAAATCCATTCAGTCAAACATAAGTCAAAACATATGCAAGGTTTAAAATTCCTTATCCATTTAGACAAATGCTAATTAGCTGGTACTTCAAGATTTAACTGAATAAAAAAGAAGATAATATAGAAGTTGTAATGATAATTTGCTTTAAATTATATAAATTCTAATATAATATTTAGTTCAGATTCATCTCAAAGTTACAAATTTTAATTTTGGCTTTATATTTTAACAAGAAATGTTAAGGACTTGTAGAATGAGATTTAAAATTAAAACTGAACCAGGTTGACTTTATTATTATTGGACTATGAGATCCAATGTTGTGCATATTTGGTGGACTGAAGTTATATCCACCTGCTCCAACATGGTAATTTCTTGAAATGAATACCCTTCTTGTTGAAGAGAATAATAATAAATATATTTTTTGCTTATATTTTGATAAGAAATTATTTAAAAATTATAAAAATTTGTAAATATATTCTTTAAAATATTATTATAATAAATTATAATATTTATACATATCTTTTATATCAGTTACATTATCAATCTTGAACTTGCTTTGATATTTAATAATCAATATTATAATAACTTTTCATCAGCTTATTGACAATTTCTCTAGATAACATAGTAGAGTTTTTGTATACTTCAAGCTATTTTAGATATTGTTCTTCAATTTTTATAGATTTATATTTTATTAGATATAATATTTGAAATATGAATTCAGAAAACAGATTAATTTCAGATAATAATATTAATCGTAAATCTTCTTTATTAATTTCTTTAATTTATATTAATTAATTCTGAATTAATTTTTTCAACTTCTATATTAATTAATTCTGAAACTTTTATATTAATTAATTCTGAAATTTATATAGAATTGCTATTATCTGTTTCTATTCTTATTTTTTATATATAATTAGTCTTCTTTTTTTATTAATTTTATAGATATCAGATTTTATTTATTTTATTTTTACTTAAAAAATAATATAATGAATATCTTGCATATATTAAATATATTTTATCTTTATAAAAAAGTATTAAAGTTTCTTATAAAATAAATAGTGACATAATATAATATTATTTTTTTTAGTTATTTATATTATCTTTATATTTTTTTTTACTCAGATTTATATATAGTATTTTAATTATAATTAAAATAATATAAATAAATATTTAGCTTTGAAATCTTATTTTTAACTTCTTATATAATTTTAAAATCAATCTTTTATATATTAAAAAACTATTTTATATTACAAATTTTTATATTATTATATCTTTGGATTATATATTGATTATTATTATTATTAATAATAATATAATATATTAGTTTAATAGTATAATCTATAAAAAAAGAACTGTTCTTTTAAATCTTTTCTCAAATATTTCTATTTTATTATTATTTTTGATAAATTTATTATTTATTTTCTGATTATTATTTCTAGTACTCTCTTAAATAAATATTAGTTAATGAGAACTTCTTTATTATATATTACTATTTATTTAATATTAATATTAAATTCTTGATTAAAATTATTATAAATCTTTTTTTATAATTAAGTAAAGTTTTTTGTAAGAATTTTATAATTTTTTGATTTTTAATTTATTTTTGATTTACTTAATATAATAACTTAAATAAATTATTATTAT